ATTAGTTCACAACGACCGCCCAGCAACAACTTAGTGACGTCATTTTTTTTTGAATTAATTCGGAATCAGATTTGATAGAGGGCTGTAGATTAGCGGTGAAGCATGTAGCAGGAGATGCTAGGTATTTTTGACCGGTCTTCAGATTTTTTTCTTAGCTAATCTTTAGTCTTTTTTTTGGTAGGAAACAGTCAGAAAAAGGAAAGCACTGTAGCGAACAATAGTGATTGCAAAGCCGAATGGTAGAGTAAAATCTGAAGACTACATCGTGAAAGTTGACGGTTAAAGACTCATTCGTCAGCTGTCATGGGAAATTATATTGCTTCTCTTCACGTGAATCCAAGTCAGTTAAATTCAATTTCAGTCACTGATACGTCCAGCAACAGAGGGCACAAAGCTCGAACGTACGAATACCTATGAAATGAAACGTTTTGGAACCTCTACTGTTTGGCACACTGTTAGAATATCCAACTAAAAACTCAATTCTCACGGAAGACCAATGACTACTAATTGAGTAAGTATCCCAATGGGCACATCCCCATTGGTGTTGTCAATAGACACCACGTTTAAAAGGCTAAAGAAAACCATTCACAAGGCTAAGATTATGTAATAGAACAAGCAGTTGATATCTACGAGGTCTGGCAGAGGTGTAGTGGCAAGTAGTACGCTTAGCACGCACGCCGTCCAGGGGTCAAATCCAGGCTCGCCTCCTGCCCAGGCCATCCAAGCCTTCTACCCGATTAAGTGATATCAGATTTGTCTGGGAAGAGACATTGACTTGTACATCGGCTGGCCACCGCAAGTCATTGTATAGGCCACATCGCATTCAATAAGCCACTACGATTCTGAATGTAAAATGCGAGCCTTATCCCAGAAAGGGATTGATCAATGGTGAAGATGTTATTCCTTTATAATTCAACGTCAAATAGCCGAAGATCTCATCATGGTTGAAGGAGCTGATTGGGACATCTGACCCACACCTTGTGGCATCGCAATAGTAGTATCGGTACGAAGGCTTGCACATATAATAAAGGCCTTTCTCCTTTTTAGACTTAGAATTTTTACCATGGCTATGTTATGGCCAAAAACCCTCGTCAATGTCTGCTCTATCGATGCAATCCACTTTCCTCTTGTAGCAACACTTTTATCGAAGCAATAAAAGTTGGCTTCGCGAAGCGTGTTCAATAGAGCTGAAAGCTAAAACGTCGTTCTGGAGCGATCTCGCAAAAGGTGCACGCTGTTCTAAAATCAAAGGTGTGATGCCTTAATGTACAATGGCAAACCTAACGTAGAGACAGCACCCCTCCTGGTTCGCCCCCTCAACTACGGTCTATCGTTGCCCTCATTAAATTTTTGTAGGAAATTGCGAACAGCCCTCCCTCAGCGAGTTTTCGCCGCACTGCAAGCCCAATTCCTCCTTGTTCTTTTACAGCGATGACTTCAGAAGTAAATATCCCTGAATTTAACCCCTTCTTCTGTTGCACAATTTCAAAAATCCCCGTGGGATACTTCATTTTGCGTATGCTGGGTACACACACATGAGAGAATCCCTTTATTCACCCACTTCACGTTTACAATTAAACGGTCAAAATGGGTAGAATAATCAGCGGCATCTCTGCGAAGCTTTATTCACCGCTTCTTCAACATGAAGTAATTTCACGTCCTTTATGGACAACGAAAACTAGCAAGACTAAAATCAGCAAAACTGACACCGTTTTTAAAGGTGCACTACTTCAATTACGATCGTAATAATAAAAATACATACGGACAGAACAATACCGCTTCCAGTACCTGTAGAATTGTTTCGAAGTTGAAAGCTGTTCCATTCCATAATGTGAACTCGCCCGTTGATGCACCCGTAATCAGTCGTTTACCCTCAGGAGTCCACTGCAGATAAATAGCTTCAAGAACAGAAAAATCCATTTCTAACACATTTTGGCGCAGTTCCAAGCCGGAGGGGAGGGGAGAGATTTTGCACCTACGCTGCTCCTCATGGTCGTGTCGGGTAGAAAGTAGTATCATCATGTAGAGAGTTGCGGTGAAACCGTGAACTGATACCATTCAAAGCTAATAGAAACTACTTGTTAAGTTGCAAAGCAAGGAACACAACAATGAGATGCAGCGAAAATGTCCAGGAAAGTAACTGCGCGCGCGTTCGGTATAAAACATCAGTAATGAAGCTGGTTTGAGCATGTTCACTCTTCTTTTTTATTTATAGCATTTTTTGTCATCTTGCGTGCTTTTTTCAATTATTCTTCTTTGGGTGGTTATGATCCCTAACGCTCCGAAAATCTGGAAATTCTAATTACTATCAAAAAGAATTTTGAATTTCTGAATTTCGACTGTCAATGTGTCGATCGAGAATGTTATCGAAAGTTCTTCAAGAATTCGAAACTATTGCATGTCCCGTGAGGTACATTTGTCAAACGACGCAAAG